TGTGTCACCCCTGTGGGGACTGAGTTTGGGATCAGGGGAACTGGGCTCTCACTGTGGTGATGGGTTAGGGATGGAAGATTTGGGGTCTCATCGTGGTGCTGCTGTTTGGGATCAGTGGAATTGTTTGGGATGGGGTGAATTGTGGCATTTGGGCCAGATCCTGTCCCTGCTGCAGGAATGAGCGCTGCAATGAGAACTACACCACAGATTTCATCTACAACCTCTACTCTGAGGAGGGCAAAGGGATTTTTGACTGCCGGAAAAATGTCCTGGGGCACATGCAGCAGGTGGGAATGGGGTGAGGGTTTGGGAATTCCCCCAGGAACAGGATCGGTGTTCAGGGGATTTCCCAGGAATGGGATCAGGATTTTGGGGGATTTCACTGGCTCATCCTGGATTCTCCTGGGGCAGGGAGGCAGCCCCACCCCCTTTGACCGTAATTTCGGCACCAAGATGGGCGCCAAGGCCGTGGCCTGGATCACCGGGAAGATCAAGGAGTGCTCCCGGCATGGTGGGTGCTGCTGGATGGGGGATCCCAAAGGGAACCCAGAGTGACCCTACATTCCCAAACCATTCCCAAAAGGCCCTGTTGTAGATTCTGGGAGATGTTCCCCAATCCTGGATGATCCCAAACATTCCTAACCTCCCCTCCCATATTTCTGTAAGGTCCCAAACATTCCCAACCCCTCCTCCAGGAGGATCCCAAACATTCCTAACCTCCCCTCCCATGTTTCTGGAAGGTCCCAAATATTCCCAACCTACCCCACAACGGGTTTTCCCCTCCTGGAGGATCCCAAACATTCCCAACTTCCCCTCCCAGGTGTTCTCCCATCCCTGAAGATTCCCAAACCTTCCCACCCTTCCCTCCCATGTCCCTGGAGGATCCCCGATGTTCCCAACTCGCCTCCAGGAGGTTCCCAAACGCTCCCGTGTTCCTCGCAGGCCGGATCTTTGCCAACACGGCTGACTCGGCGTGCCTGCTGGGGATGCGCAAGCGCAGCCTGGTGTTCCAGCCCATCGCCGAGCTGCGCCAGCAGACGGATTTCGAGTGCGTGCCCCTCTGTGTCCCACCCCGGCAAAGTGGGACAAAGCCTGGGATCCCTCCCCAGGGATGCCCCCAGCCTGTCCCTGTCCCCTCAGGCACCGCATCCCCAAGGAGCAGTGGTGGCTGAAGCTGCGGCCCATCCTCAAAATCCTGGCCAAGTACAACATCGAGCTGGACACGTCAGAGACGGCGCACCTGGAGCACCTGACCCGCAAGGTCCTGGTCCCCGAGGCCACCCTGTGACAGGGACAGTGGCCACTGCCAGCCTGAGGAACCCCAAAATCCCCTTTTCCCACAGCGTCCTGGGGCTTTTCGGGGGTTTGATAGGATTTTGAGAAGTGGTCCCCAAGTGACGTGAGGATAAGTTGAGGAGGGATGGTGGAGGTTGAGGTTTTTAGGGTTAAAAGTCACAAAATGGAGATGTTTCAATAAATTCAGTGCCTGTCCAAGTGCTCCAGGTCTCTGTGAATCCATGGAAAGAGAAACCTGGATCCCACTAACACCAAATCCATCCTGCTCCTCAGGATTTCCCTGCCCAGCATAACAGAGAGGGATAAAAGAGGTAGAATTTGAGCTTTCATCCCCAAGTTCATTCCAGAAAATAACAATGACGGCTTTTAGCAGCTTGGTTTCACCTTGGAGAGCTGCTCTTCTATTGGATCCTGGAATAGATCCCAAAAAAAACCACCAAACCAACACCAAAGGGTGAACTCCTGGTGGGAAACCTCAGGAAGAGCTTGAAGAGATGGGAGGGAAGCCCTCAGCTCCATGTGGAGCATTCTGGAGAAGATTTCTTTCGCCCAAAAGAATTCCAGCCCTGCAAAATTTTGGTTTTTGAGCTAGTTTCACTCTTGATGCAGCACAAAAATTACGGATAAACGGGGAGAACTTCATTCTCCATGCTGGATAAACACCTAGATCTTTGATTTTCAGCCAACACATCCCATAGGATTACTCTGCATCCCAACCCACAACTTCTTGCCTTGGGTCCTTCCTCAAAGGAGACCTTTCCTTTAAAACCTTCCTTTTGCAAGGCAAAAAAAAAAAAACCAAAAAAAGGGGAAAACCAGATTAATCCAACAGCTGGGATATAATTTGCCATCAGAGGAATATTGTTCATTGCAAGGGAGTGAAAGGGGGGGGACAGGGAGACAAGCAGAAGGAACAGAGAGGAGGAACTGGAGGGAGTGTGAGAGGATAGGGGGAGAAACAGAGGCAATGAAATGGGACAAGGGGAGGAAAGGGAGGCAGCGTGAGGGGCCAGCAGGGTCCCGGGGGGGCCGAGGGGAACAAAAACCACAGAGAGGAACCTGGGAAGCCACAAAGTGAGCGGGGATCCTCTCCCCGGAGCGAGGGGCGATCCGGGGCAAGGGGAGCTGTCCCTCCCTCAGGTGAGCAGCAGCAGGTACTCCTTGAGGCAGGCAGGCAGCGGCAGCTGCTGCACGGCCTGGGGCAGGAAGCGCAGGCCGAGCGAGCGGCGCACGGCGTAGCGCGACAGCGCCTGCAGCGTGCCCGGCGCCGAACACAGCAGCGTCAGCCGCTGGCACAGCTGCGGGTCCCGGGCCACCTCCCAGGGCAGGCTCCCGTTCTTGCGCAGCTCAAAGTGTCCCGTGGCTCTGTGCAGCAAATCCAGGCAGGAATCCTCGCGCTCCGTGCCCAGGCCCCGCACCAGCAGCGCCACCAGGCGCGAGACGGGGCTCTGGCCGTTCAGGTTGACCACGCGCACCTCGGCGCCGAAGTCCAGCAGGATGCTGACGCTCTCCAGGTTGCCCTTCATGGCCGCCCAGCTCAGGGGAGTGTCGTTGTTGTAGTCCAGGGCGTTGACCAGGGCACCGTTGGCCAGCAGGGCCCGCACGCACTCGGCGTTGTTCTTGAAGGCCGCCCAGTGCAGCGGCGTGTCCTTGTTGCCGTCCAGGGCGTTGGGGTTGGCTCCGTACTCCAATAAAATCTCCACGCAGGTTTCATCTTTTTCTGCTGCGTAGTGAAGGGCTGTCCGGTTGTAGCCGTCCAGGGCGTTCACCTGGGGGAGGAAAAACAGGTTTGGGGGTCAGGGAGTGGCCCCAGCTGGATCCCGCAGCAAGGGAAGAGTCCAAGGTCCCAAATCCCAAATGTAGGGAAAAATGAGGAAGGGTTTTAGCCCAGTAGCCAGGGGAAAGTCAGGTAAAAAATCCAGCAAATTTAGGGTTTAAGTCTTCCTTCCCAGCCTCCTGAAATCTCAGTGCAAAAATTTAGGTTCCAATCCTTCCTCTGCTCCCAAAATCTCAGCCCAAGAATTCCCTCCCTGTTGGGACAATGAACCTTCCCCTCGTGCCACTTTGTGAGGGGATACAAGCCCATGGAATATCCTCAGCTGGAAAAGACCTACAAAGATCATAAAATCCAAGCCCTGGCCCTTCACAGGACGCTCAAAAATCCCCCCCTATGCTGGGAGTGCTGTCCAAACCCCAGTCCCCAGAGCTTGCGCCCCATGACACTCTGGGGGAAGAACTTTTTTCCAAAATCCAACTGAAACACATCAGCTCTAACCCATCTCAGCTGTGTATCAGCTCCTCCTGACTTCCCTGCCCCTTATCTCGGAATTTTCCTCCTGTTTTTGTTTTTTCCAAAGCTTTACCTCAGCTCCTTTTTGCAGCAGCAGCTCCACGCAGTCGGCATCAGCCACCATGCAGGCACAGTGCAGGGGTTTGAGGGTGCCGTGCAGGCAGTTCACATCGGCGCCCTGGGGAACACAGCAACGCCCCCTGGTCAGGAACTACCCCTTTTCCATCCCTTCAGAAAGGGGTAATTCACACAAATCCCGGGGCTTTGCAGGAACCGCCTCGAGGTCAGCAAAGCCCACCCTTTCCCTGTCCTTCCCATCCCTTCAAGAAAGGCTTAATTAAGAGAAATCCCAAGAACGCTCCTGGTCTTAATCCCGGCTCCCGCCTGTGTTTCACCAATCCACTGTCACCAAACGGTGCCCGGAGACCCTCCCGGCCCCGGGGGTCCAGAGGGTGGAACGAAAAGCCTGGAGTCTCTAAACCAACCGGAGATGCCCTGATCTTCCCTTCTCGGGAAAATTCCTCCAGGGAGTCCCCAGGGAGGCTCCGCAGGGAGCGGGACAGCCGGGGACAGCTCGGCAGTGCCCGGGGGGACTCGAGCAGGCCGGCCCGGCCGCGGAAGGGGTGGGATGCCTCACCCGGCCGATGAGATCCTCCACGTTGTCCCGAGGGAAGGAGCGGATGGCGGCGATGGTGCGGATAAGGCGCTCGGACAGCGAGTACTTGCTCTGAATGCTCTGCATGATGTACCACATGGCGCGGGCCGCGCCGCGGCATCCCCGGCCGGCCCCGCCGAGCCCCGCGCCGGACCCGGGGCGGGGAGGGAGCGGCCCGGGCCGGGCTGGGCCGAGCCGCAGGAGAGTCCGGAGGTGGAGCCGCGGCTGTTCCGGAGTGGTTCCGGAGTGGTTCCGGAGCGGTCGCAGGGCGGTTCCGGGGGGCCCGAGCCGCTCCCGGGGCGCTCCCGGAGCAGCGGCAACAGCCGGCCAAGCAGGACGCGGAAATGCCGCTGAACCAGAAGTGACGTCACACAAAGTGCCCCGCCACGACCGCCTCTCCACAAATCCGGCTCCGTCGCCCCCGCTAGTCCCGCCTCCTCCATTTCTTTCCTCCAATCACCAGCACCGGCCGCCCTTAAGCCGCGCCCCCTATCGGATTTCCACCAATCCGCGCTTCCCTGAGGTCACGCAGGCCCTCCCCCTCCTCCATAAACCCCCCTCGTAATCCCCCCAAATTTTCCCGTTTCCCTCCATATTCCGCTTTCCCTTTAGGCCCCGCCCACACCGGGCCACCAACCAATAGGAACGCAGCACTGACAACACACCCTCGAACCGTCCGGGGGGCGGGGCCACGCGGTAGAGGCCACGCCTCTCCCCCCCCCCGGCCCCACAAACGGACTCAAAACGGCCCCAGAATTGGCATTTTTTTATTCCTTTTTAACTTCTTCTGCCCCAGCCACCTCCAGAGAAGGCCCGGAGCTCCTGTCCAGGAGCCTCGGAGCCCGCCAGAGGTCTCTGTCCTTTATGGCCGTGGGTTGAGATCCCACTGGGAGCACCCGCCCCTCGCCAGCCGCAGAGCAGAGCCCTAAAGAAAGGAGAATGGTCCTGGCTACCGAATTTGGGGGTGGCTACCGCATTTTGGGGAGTGGCTACTGAATTCTGGTGGGGCTGGGTTACCGAAGTTGGGGAGGGTGGCCTCTGAATTTGGGGAATAGCTACTGCATTTGGAGGTTTTGTCTTGATTTAGGAGGAAAAGGAGTGGGATGAGGGAGGGGCAAGAAGGAGGGGGTGGAGCTGGGGTTCTCCCAGTGCTCCCACTAACACCAAGCCCCCCTCCCAGTAACCCAAACACCCCCTCCCAGTGCTCCCACTAACACCAAGCCCCCCTCCCAGTAACCCAAACACCCCCTCCCAGTGCTCCCACTAACACCAAGCCCCCCTCCCAGTAACGCCCCAGATTCCCCTCTCTCCTTCTCCTGGTTTATCCCAAGGCCCCCAGTCCCTCCCAGTTCCTCCCAGTGCCCCCAGTACCTGTCCCTCGCTTGTCCCAGCCAGGGGGGGCACTGAGGGGGGAAAGGGGCATTAGGGGGTTTCGAGGTCACCCCATAGATCGGGGTCAGCGCTGAGGGGCTTCTCTGGGAGGGCTTGGGGTCCTGCAGGGGCTTTGGGGAGCTCTGGGCTCCCTCCGTGGGGGTTTGAGGCCCTACATGAGCTTTTCTTGAAGATGAGGAAAGGGGGCAGGGTTTGGGGTAAATTCCGTGGGATTTGAGGTCGCTCACCCACACTGGAGGCCAGAGAGGTCCCTGAATTTCTGTAGGCTACACCAGCCTGTGGGGGGAGAGCAAACCACTTTGGGAACCCCCCTATTTTGGGGTGGCCCCATTTGGGGTGAGGTCTCACCTGCCATCCTGGAGTGCTGCGGGACTGGGGGGGCTCCAGTGGGGCCAAGCGGCTGCAAAAGAGGTGGGAGGTTTGGGGGACTCCCCTGTACAATTGAGGGACCCCCATCCCAATTTAGGATGCCCCCCCTCACCCCTTACCTGACCACTTGACTGCTGAGCTGCCGGCGGGGCTGAGGCGTGACTGGAAATGGAAAATTTGGGAAGACCCCTATGAACAAGGAGGGGATGGGGAGGGGTTTTATGGTGTGGAAGACACCCCTGAAAATCTGGGGGGCACTTACCTGAATGTGTGGGGGAGAGACGGGGGGTGCTGCTGCGGCTGCTCCAGCGCCAGCCTGGGGAGAGCTGCGGGGAGATTTGGGGGGATGTTTTGCTGGGGGAAGTTTGGGGAGACAGTTTTGGGGGTGAGGGAAGGGGTAGGGAGGCTTTGGGGGAGTTTGGGGTCCAGGGAAGGGGCAGGGGGGCTTTGGGGAGTAGTTTGGGGTCCAGGGAAGGGGGGCTTTGGGGACCACCTGCATGCGGCGCAGCTCCTCATTCTCCCGGCGAAGTGACTCCAGCTCCCTGGGAAGGAGGAGGATTTAATGGAGGGTGGGAATTCCCCCCATTTGGGGTGGGAGTCCCTCCACAGGGCAGCTAAGGGGGGCAGAGCAAAGGGATGGAAGCTCACCAGGATGGCAGTGAATGGCAGGACATGCTGTCACCAACATGGCAGCCAAGGGAGGGTAAGACCCTCCCAAGAAAGGGGTCAGAAGGACAAGGACTCTCATCAAAGTGTTGACCAGGGAGTGCTGCCTCACCCACATGCCCAGAGGAGCCAAAGATGGAGGTGTGAACCCCCTACCATGGCATCCCCCTCACCTTCTCCTTTCCCCCAGCTCCTCTCTGGCCTCCTCCAGCTCTGCCTGCACCCGCCGAGTTCTGTCCCGGTGCAAGTCCAGCAGAAGCTGCGTCTGTGCTGTCTGGAACCGCCACACCTGGGGGACGTGGGTCACCTCCTCGTATCCCCCAGCCTGTGGGGCTGGGGACAATGGTGGAGCCTCATCCCCCATCACCTGTGTCCTCCTCACCTGCGTGATGTGGGCAAGGTGCTTGAGGGCAAGGGCCACCGGGTTCTTGAAAAAAATCTTCTCCTGTGGGCGCATCTGTTGGGCATGGGGGCATCAAAAAGATGGGAAGAAGGTTGGAAACAGGAAGGGAAAAGGGTGGGAAAGGGATGTGGGGCACAACATGGGGGACACTGGCCTGATCGGACAGGGGCAGGTAGCGGCAGGTGGTGCCACAGACTGGGCAGGGACCTGTGGGAGGGGGAGAAAAAAGTGAGAAAAGTGAGAGAAAAAGATGTCCTAAAGGCCCAAAAATGGTGTTCCTTGAGGGAAATGGATCATTTCCCCTCATTTTAGGGTTTTAAATTGAGGCACGATCCTCCATTTCCACAATGCTGAGGGTGTAAATTGAGGGAAAATCCCCCATTTTCCATCATTTGAAAGAGAGAAATTGAGGGGAAACCCTCTTTTCCCAATATTTTAGGGGTTTAAATTGAGGGCAGAGCCCTCAATTATTTATTTGCTTGAGTTGAGGTGACCCCTCCTTTCCCTCTCGTTTTAAGGGACTAAATTGAAGGAAATTCCCCCTTTCTCAGCATTTTAGGGGTTTAAATTGGGGCTTTTCCTCAGTTTTACCTGTGCCCCCACAGCCCTCGCACAGGATGTGGCCGCAGTTGGTGATGGCGAACCGGGCGCCATCCTGGCGGAAGCAGCGACTGCAGTGGAACCAGTCCATGGCGGCGCCGGGGCGAGGAGCTGCCTGTGGTGCCTCCAGACGTGAGAGCCTGGGAGGGAATGAGGGGAAAGGTGAAGGGAAAAGGATGGGAAAAAGTGAGAGAAAAAAGGGGTGGAAATGTGAGGAGGAAAGGGTCGGAAATGTGAGGAGGAAAGGGTCAGAAATGTGAGGGCTGAAGGGCTGGAAGCGTGAGGCGAAAAAGGGCGGGAAATGTGAGGGGGAAAGGGTCGGAGATGTGAGGGAAGCGTGAGGCGAAAAAGGGCGGGAAATGTGAGGGGGAAGAGGGCAGGAAAGTTGAAGCCAGGGAAAGGGCAGCAAAAGAGAGAAAAAAGGGCAGGAAATGTGAGGGGAAAAGGGTGGGAAACCTGAGGGGAAAAAACAGCAGGAAAGGTGAGAGGAAAAATGTGGGAAAAGGGAGGAAAAAAAAGGTGGGAAACTGGGAAACATGAGAGAAAAAAGGGTGGGAAATGTGAGGGGGAAAAGGGCGGGAAAGGTGACGGGGGAAATGGTAGGGAAAAAGGAGAGAAAAAGAGCAAGAAAGGGGAGAGATGAAAAAAGTCAGAAATGTGAGAGGGAAAAGGGCCACCTGAATGGGGACAGGGAAACCAGAATTGGGACATCAGGATGGGGACAGCAACATCTGGACCAATGGGGGTAGATGGGGATGGGGATAAGGACACCAAGATGGAGACGCTGTGAGGGGCCAAGATGGAGATGGAAATACCAGGATGGAAACAGGGACACCAGGACAAGCCTGTGGAGACACTAGGAGTGGCATGGCATGGGGACACATGTATGGGGGTGTTGAGATGGGGACACTGTGATGGGAATGGGGACCCCAAGGATTCCACGACCCTGGGGATGGGGTCTCCAGGATGGGAATCCTGGGACTTGGGCACATGGATCTGCTGATGCCATCAATAAAACGTCTCTGAGCAGCCTCATCTTATCATATGGATTTGGGGACACCAGCCAGGGGATTGTCCGACTGTGAGATTTTGGGGTCACCCCCAGTGACCCCAATAGGGCCATGCAGAGATTTTCCCATCCTCCAGGAACCAGTGCCTGGGGTGGGGGAAGGAGATGGAGACCCCATACTCTCACCCCACCACCCCTAAACCCTCTGGGGGGCTCTGGGGGCAGAGGGTGCAGGGGGAGCACCCCAAAACCCTGATTGTACTATTTCATAATCCCAAAATCACGAAATCCTGCAAAATCTTTGGCTGTGTTACATAAATCCAACAGTTTTTAATTGGGGGGTTGAGGGCAGGAAAAGCAAGCCCAGAATATCGGGGGAGGGGCTCAGGGTTTGGAGGGTGCAGGAGGCACCCCAGAACCACAATCCTACCATTACCTGATCCCAAAATCCCTCCATGCCACTGTTGAACCCTCCAGCCTCGCTGTGCAATTCCAACCATTTTTAATTATAGGGATGGCGAGGCGGGGGAGGGGGCAGAAATGCATCCCCAGGCCCTCATGAGGGAGAATCTGGGGGGCACAGGGGCCACCCCAGAACCCCGATCCCGCTGCCCCCCAATCCCTCTATCTCTATCCCGTCATTGTGTAATTCCAACCATTTTTGATTCCCGGAGGGGGCGGGGGGGGGAGGAAACTCCCCAATAAAACCCTCAGGGGTATTATTCAGGGATTTGGGGGGGGGGGGGCAGGGGACGCCCCAAAGCCCCGATCCCGCCGTTCCCGGAATCCCTGGATGCCGCTGCCGAGCCCTCCGCCCTCGTTGCGTAATTCCAACCATTTTTAATTCCCGGGGGGGCAGGAAACGCGTCGCTGCCGTTACACAAAGCAGGAAGGGGGGAGGGAGAAGTCTGGG